GCGGCCTTTGACACAGTTGACCACCCCCTCCTCCTTAATAAACTACTCTCCCTTGGCATCAGAGATACCGCTCTCTCTCTGGTTCTCATCCTACCTATCCCGACGCTCCTTCAGCGTCACCTACAATGGTGCCACCTCCCCCTCCCTCCCCCTCTCTGTTGGGGTCCCCGTACCCTTCACTCCTCACTGGACCTCCTTCTTTCCTGCTCCCTGGTCTCCTCCTCCCATGCACGACTGCAAGACTTCTCCAGGTCCTCCCCCATCCTCTGGAACTCACTGCCCCAATCCATAAGACTGTCGCCTTCCCTCCTCACATTCAGGCGCTCCCTCAAAACCCATCTCTTCAGGAAAGCCTACCCCACCCTCACCTAACGGCCATTCTCCATCTTTCCTCCCACCCCTCATTCCCCTCAGCCACTTCCTACTGTACCATTACCCCCTCCCTCCTAGATTGTAAGCTCGAAAGAGTAGGGCCCTCTTACCCCTCGTACGTTGTTTGTTATTGTTGTATTGTGCCATGTATTGTCCCCCCCCCCCCCTATTGTACAGCGCTGAGCAAACCCTTTGGCGCTATATAAACTCCATGTAATAATAATAATAATAATTCCAGCTACTACCAGGTAAAACATTTGGGATTATTGTATACAAACAATTGTAAATACCCACCAAACATAAACAGTGAAATAAATGGATGGCAGGTTTGGAAACCACAGAAAGCCAACACAATCTATTTGCCTTCATCTACGCGTTTCACGGAGGTCCGGCTTCTTCCAGACTGAAAATGGGTTTTCTATCCGAGTTCTAATGAGAAATCCAGATCCTTCTACAACATCCAGCAGGAAAATGACAAAAGATGGATATAGAGCGAGGAGCGACAATTCCACTGTCCACCACTAGGGGGGGCTATATGTGCGAGTCGGACATTGGGGGGTCGTGTGTTCCCTGAACACGCCAACATCTGGGGCATTTGGTGGGCTGCTCCCCCCGTGTCCCACAATGCAGTGCTCACATTTCAGGTGCTTTGGCCAATCACAGCTGAGTTCACAGGTAGAGAAAGATTGGCCAAAGATCTGGTGACTTTGGCCAATCATGATGTACGGGCAAGTCCACGCCCCCACACCATACAAGGCTGCTTATTGGGTGTTAGTGAGCTAGGTGAGGTTAGTTAGTGGTGTGTTAGGAGGGTGTAGTGTAGTGTCATGGTGTCAGTGTCATGGTGTCAGTGTTGTGGTGTCAGTGTCAGTGTTGTGGTTTCAATTTTGTGGCATCAGTGTTGTGGTGTCAGTGTTGTGGTGTCAGTGTTGTGGTGTCAGTGTTGTGGTGTCAGTGTTGTGGTGTCAGTGTCAGTGTCAGTGTTGTGGTGTCAGTGTTGTGTGTCAGTGCTGTGGTGTCAGTGTCGTGGTGTCAGTGTCGTGGTGTCAGTGTCGTGGTGTCAGTGTCAGTGTCAGTGTGTGGTGTCAGTGTTGTGTGTCAGTGTTGTGGTGTCAGTGTGTGGTGTCAGTGTCGTGGTGTCAGTGCCGTGGTGTCAGTGTCGTGGTGTCAGTGTTGTGGTGTCAGTGTTGTGGTGTCAGTGTGTTGTTTTTACAACGCTTCTGCATCACTGTTCTTCCCATTTTTTTTTTGTATTTGTGATTTTTTTTTTGTGAGTATCAGGTTCTGTTGCTGCATCTTTAGTGTTCCCCTTTTTTGTTGCCGGTGTTCCTCCTGCGTCAGCATGACAGAGCTCACTCAGGGGCGGGGCACTGCTGACTCCATGCAGACTTCCACAAGTTCTCTGGTGTGGGCTTATTCCAACACATGTGCAGCAGATCGCAGCATTGCTATTTGTAGTCTCTGTCTGAAGCAGATCAAGCGTGGCCAAAACACCAGCCGCTTGGGCACCACATGCTGGACCACACATATGACGAGCCGCCATGCAACCCATTGGTAACATCACCTGAAAGACCCACATCCGAAAACAGTGCAGACTTCTTCTTGGTCCTCATCTGGGATCTCTACCTCCTCTGTAATACATCCGGTCTTCTCAACAGCCTCCACTGAGAGGAGTGATGGTACAGCAATGGGGGCCACAGGTCCTGCACCCCATCTGATAGCAGTACACCTCCTGATCATTTCAGCAGGAACATTTCACTACCCCATTTGCTGAACCGTGAAAAAAAATTCTGTCCACATCCACATGTCCCACCCATCACATGTCCCAGCCCATCCACAGGCTGCCAACACCTGCCAAAGCGGCCTGTTCCCCATCCCACATGTCCATGCATGGAGGAGTCACCTCACTGATCTGGTGTCTGCAAAGCCTGCATAACGGCCCGAGGATTCGGAGTGGTATCAAGGAGAGGGATCAATACTAGTTGCAGTCATGTTCCCTCTTGATCCACGTTACAAGCCAAGTTGGGTCCAGTTGCAGAGGGAGGATGGAGATCTTCACAGAGGGACAGAGGATGAAACATCTTGAGTGAGCCATGAGAAAAAAACATTTGTGGGTAGCAGTGAGGAGGAGTTCTTTACCTCAATGAGCCCAGGATGTTAGGTTTTAAGGACAGCCATCGGCATGGTCATCACATGACAGAGATCCTCTAGGGGCGGGGCACTGCTGACTTGCAGACCTTCCACAACATCTCTGGGTTACTGGGTCTTCCAGGATGGAGCAGAGTCACTGGCCAGAACTCGCTGAACAATATGCCATCGAGCTACTTGTCCTGCACCCAGAGTCTTTCCGAACGGAACATTCAGTGCTGCATGGAGGTTGTGTGACGGATAAAAGAGTGCGTCTGTCCACAGACTCCCATGCTGAACCAGCTGACATTTATCAACATGAATCAGTCCTGGATCAACAGCACCTGAAAGGTCCCACATCCGATGTACAGTGCAGACTTCTTCTTGGTGGGATCTCATCTGGGATCTCTACTACCTCCTCTGTAATACATCCGGTCTTCTCAACAGCCTCCACTGAGAGGAGTGATGGTCCCCAGCAATGGGGGCCACAGGTCCTGCACCCCATCTGATAGCAGTACACCACCTGATCATTTCAGCACAGGAACATTTCACTACCCCATTTGCTGAACCGTGAAAAAAAAAATTCTGTCCACATCCACATGTCCCACCCATCCACCATCCACACTGTCCCAGCCATCCACACCTGTCCCACCCATCCACATGTCTCAGGTATCAAGGACATGTCTCATGGGCTCACTGACCTGCAAAGCCTGTGTAAGGGCCCGAGAGATTCGTGGTATCAAGGAGAGGGATCATACTGGTTGGGACCTTCTTGATCCACGTTACAAGGGTGAAGTTGCAGAACTCTTTTCCAGTCTTCACAGAGGGAGGGGCAAGCAGAGCCCCCAGCCTTCACAGAGGGAGCAGAGGATGAAACATCTTGAGGACAACATGAAAAAACATTTGTGTAGAACCTTTTCCAGACAATGGGAGGTTACCATTTCCTGGACAACGTGTTTCTGGGGCTTCGTTCTGCCAAAGGAAGAGCGGTGGAGAAGGTGGCCGGCTGACCGATGCCTTCAAACAGTTCTTTAGTCCTCAGTGCCCAGGGATGTTAGGTTTAAGCACCCATCGGCAGGGTCTGCATCATATGGTGCAGGATTATCTAGGGGCAAGAGCAGACTTGGAGACCTTTCCAACTGAACATCCACTGGGTTACTGGGTCTTGAGGATGGATCACTGGCCAGAACTTGCTCAATATGCATCGAGCTACTGACTTGTCCTGCATCCAGCGTGCTTTCCGAACGGACATTCAGTGCTGCTGGAGGTTTTGTGACGGATAAAAGAGTGCGTCTGTCCACAGACTCCGCTGACCAGCTGACATTTATCAACATGAATCAGTCCTGGATCAACAGCAACTATCTTGTCCCTGATGCTGATGTAACTGATTCCATTTGTTAGAGGGATCTGGGATCCCTTGAAGACTGCCTATGCTGCCTATCCTATTCCTCAGTCCTGATTATGGTCGCTTCCAACTATTCAGTTCCAACTATTTTCCAACTTTGGTTTAGGGCCCCACCAACACCCAAGGCCCAATTTTATTTATATTGGACCCCTTACTCATTCACAAGGGGGAAGCATCAGGGTGCCCCCTTATTTAAAGGGGTACCTGATGTTAATGAGCCCCCTGCCCGCAGACCCCCACAACCAGGGTTTTGGGGAAGAGGCCCTTGTCTCCATGCTGAGGGCATGTGGCCTGGTAAGGTCCAGGGAGGGGAGGGCCACTTTTTCATCCTCCCCTTCCAGGCCTACCAGGCCTGTGCTCGGATCAAGGGTCTGGTATGAAGTTAGGGGGGACCCCACACTTTTTCCATCTATTTTTTGGGGGTGGGGTTCTCCTTAGAAGGCCTATCAGGTCTAAAGGGCCTGGTTTGGCTTTTAGGGGGAACCCCACGCACTTTAAAAAAAAAATGTCACTGTGGGGTCCCCCCTAACCTTCCCACCGGACCTAAAGGGTCTGTTATGAATTAGGGGGGACCCCACACATCTTTTTTTTTTTTAAATATAAATGTCAGTTGTGCTGCAGCAGGTCCTATACATTGTACAGATGTGCAACTTTGCAGGGAGTTTATGGGGACCCCCCAGGTATGATAATTACATTTTTTTTTTTGTTTATGATTCCTGTCCCTCAGGGCCCCACTGTCCCCCTCAGGGCCGTCCCCGAGTCCCCATACCACTTCTGGGGCCAATAACTGGCATAAAAGCCTTCAGAATGGTCACTTTTCCATTTACAAGTTCCAGTCCCATAGACTTGCATTGAGTTCGAAGTTTGCGGTTGAACTTTCGTCAAGTTGGAATGTTGGACCGCGAACCGAACAGGGGGGTGTTGGACCCGTCACTACTTATTACATGTCTGTGTCCTTCTGTAGAAGAATTCTTCTAGCTACGTGTCTCAGTCCCAGCCTCTCCCTGTGTAGGAATGTACACCTCGCCCCGTGTAGGAGTGTACAGAACGGGTCACATTGGATACGGAGTGTCAGAGACTTTCCCCGTCATTCTGTCTTCTGCTCTCAGCGATGGCGTCTTCTGATCTGAGGAAGGAGCTGGAATGTTCCGTCTGTCTGAACATTTATACAGATCCTGTAACCCTGAGATGTGGACACAACTTCTGCCGGGACTGTATTGGCCGTGTGTTGGATACACAGGAGGGGTCTGGAGGTTATTTCCTGTCCTGAATGCAGAGAAGAGTTCCAGGGAACGTCCTGCACTGAGGAGGAACATAAACACTACGTAACATAGTGGAGAACTTCCAGTCTACCCATCCAGAGCAGGAGGAGTCCGGGGTCTTCTGTACTCACTGTATTCACACTCCTGTACCGGCTGTGAAATCCTGTCTGCATGTGTGAAGCTTCTCTGTGTGACAACCACCTGAGAGTCCACAGCAAGTCACCAGAACACGTCCTATGTGACCCCACCACTTCCCTGAAGGACAGGAAATGCTCCATCCATAAGAAGATCCTGGAGTATTACTGCACCGAGGACTCCACCTGTATCTGTGTGTCCTGCAGGCTGGATGGAGAACATCGGGGACACCAGGTGGAGACTCTGGAGGAGGCCTCTGAGATGAAGAAGAAGAAACTGAGGAATGTTCTGCAGAAACTGATGACAGAGAGAGAGGAGATGGAGAAAAGAGTCCAGAGTCTGCAGGAACGCAGGAGGAAAGTACAAGGAAAAGCAGATGATGAAACCAAGAGAGTCACTGCCCTGTTCAGAGACCTCAGGAGACGTCTGGAAGACCTGGAGAAGAGAGTCCTGAGGGACATCTCCGGGTGGGCAGAGCGGGTCTCCCGTCCCATGTTGGATTATATTCGGGATCTGGAAATAAAGAAGGAGGAGCTGTCCAGGAAGATGAGGGACATTGAGGAGCTGTGTAACATGACGGATCCACTGACTGTCCTACAGGAATCAGACACAGGTGACTTGTGTGATACTGAGGATGGAGATGATGAGGACAGAGAGAGACATGAGAACCTCCTCCATGATGGAGGGGATGGGGATGTGGGGGGGATCTCACACACATTACACACGGGTTTATCTGATATCATGTCTGGGGTCAATGTACAGAAATGTACAGGCACACATGTCTCTCCACATTCTACTACAAAGGGCAAAGGTCCCATCAATGGTCCACCATCCAGGCCAGACCCCAAACCCTCCCCCACTGGAGGACCAAATATTGGGGCTGTACAGCAAACATTGGGGGGTGTCGGGGGTTACAGACATATTACTGGATGTGAGGACAGCTGGTAATTATCTACATATATCAGATGACGGGAAAACTGCATCCAAGTCATCACATCAGAATCGGCCAGAAACACACCAGAGAGATTCCAGGATTCTCAGGTGATGAGCAGTCAGAGCTTCTCCTCCGGGAGACATTACTGGGACGTGGATGTCGGGGGGGCAGAATACTGGAGAGTCGGGATGTGTTACCCCAATATAAACAGGAGAGGAGATAAGTCAGGGATTGGAGGCAATAAGAAGTCCTGGGTGTTAGAGGGGGGGGGGTTGGAGAGGTGGGGGGGTGGTTGGGGGGTAATGAGTACTCAGTGATACATGACAGTAATGAGACCCCATTCCCCGGCCGTGTCTCCAATACCAGAGTCAGGATAGATCTGGATTATGAGGCCGGGCGGATCTCCTTCTATGATCTGTGTGACCCGATCCGACACCTCCACACCTTCACCACCACCTTCACTCAGCCCCTCCATGTCGGGGTATGGGTAGGGAGAGGTTGTATAACGATATGTGGGAGGAGCCAGAAGTGAGAGATCCGCCCAGAGACATCACAAGGGGGATGATCTGATTGGTGATTGGTGCAATACTCAGCCAATAGGAGGAAGGGCAGGAAACAGGAGTGATTTGTGGAGAAAGCTGCAGGTTCCGGGGCCGTCATCTTCATCCTAAACCTCACTTCACTCCCTAGTGTGTCACTGACCAGGAACAAGCATGCAGGAGGTCCGAGTGTTCCGCCTTCACTGGCTGCATGCTTGTGACTGTTATTTTTGACAGTGGCAATAAAATGACAGCTGAAAAAATGAGGGTTTTATGACAATTAAAAAATGACAGATTTATTGGAAGTTTCCAAATGACAGTTATTTTTATTAAGTTGAAAAGTTTTTTTGACAGTTGAAAAATGACAGTTATATTTGTTGATAAAAAGGAGTTATTTTTTTACAGGTGAAAAATGACATATTTTGTCAGTTGATAATTATTTTTGACACTTGAAAAATAACAGATTTTTTGACAGAGGCAAAATATGAGTTATTTTTGACAATTAAAAATGTGGGTTTTTTGTCTATTGAAATATAAGAATTATTTTTTGTCAGATGAAAATTGACAAAAATAAATTGACATTTGCAAAAAAATTATAATTGAAAAATTAGGTTTATTTGACATTTAAAAAATGACTTTTTGTCAGTTAAAATTTTTTTTTTGAAAACCAACAGTTATATTTGAGAGTAGAACAATTAGTTATTTTTGAAAGTTCAAAAAATGGCAATTGAAAAACAAGGGTTTTTTTGACAGTAAAAAAATTTGTTGTAAAAAAGGTCAAAAATAATTGTCATTTTTCAACTGACAAAAAATAACTAATTTGTTTAAAATTACAAATAAAACATCATTTTTAGATGTCAAAAATAACTGACAAAAAATAATGCATTTTTCTACTGTCAAAATTAAATGTAATTTTTCAGTTGACAAAAAAAACCCTCTTTTTAAATGTGATTTTTTTTTTTTTTTTTGGTTTTACTGTCAAAAATTATCTGCATTTTATTGCCAGTGTAAAATACTGTCATTTTTCAACTGTAAAATATAACTGACATTTTTTGACTGTTAAAAAAAAATAGATGACATTTTTCAACTGTAAGTAAACCCTAATTTTTACGACAAAAAATAACTGTCATTTTTCAACTTTAAAAAAAACCTCATTTTTAAATTACCATTTTTTTCCACTGTCAAAAATTACCTGTCATTTCTTTTGCTACTGTAAAAAAATTAACTGTCATTTTCAACTGTCGAAAAAAACCCTCTTTTTTTAAATGTGATTTTTTTTTTACTGTCAAAAATGATCTGCATTTTATTTCCACTGTAAAAATTTTTTTTCCAAATGTCAAATATAACTGTCGTTTTTTCAACTGTTAAATGTAATGTTTCAGCTGTAAAAAAAAAATAAGAATTTTTAACAACAAAAAATAACTCATTTTTTAACTGTCAAAAAAACCCTCCATTTTTCAACTGTGATTTTTTCCACTGTCAAAAATTACCTGTCATTATCAATTGTCAAAAAAAACTCCTCATTTTTCGACTGTCATTTTATTGCCACTGACAAAAAATATATTTTTTGCAAAAATAAAAATATAACTGTAATTTTTCAACTTTAAAAAATGTTTTTTTTTTTTACAACAAGAAATAGCTGTCATTTTTCAACTGTCAAACACACTCATTTTTCAATTGCCATTTTTTTCCACTGTAAAAAGTGAACTGTCATTTTCAAATGTCAAATATAGCAAATTTTTCAACTGACAATTTTTTTTTTTTCTTTTAATGACAACAAAAACATTTTTTTTAACTGTCAAAAATAACTGTCATTTTTGCCACTGTCATTTTTTTTTACTGACAAAAAAACCCTAATTTTTCTACTGTCAAAAATAAATTTGTTTTTAACTGACAAAAAAATAACTCTGTAAGAAAAAATTTGTACTTTTTCAACTAAAAAAACTATCATTTTTCAACTGTCAAAAAAACCCTCTTTATTACATGTGATTTTTCTTTCACTGTCAAAAATGATCTGCATTTTATTGCCACCGTAAAAAAAAACTGTCATTTTTCATCTGACAAAAAAACAGTAATTTTTCAACTGTCAAAAAACCCTCATTTTTCAAATATATACAAATTTTCTGTCAAATATAACTGTCGTTTTTTAACTGTTAAACCTCATTTTTCAATTGCTATTTTTTCAAAATGTCAAAAATAAATTTTTTCAACTGACAAAAAATAACTGTCATTTTTAAACATCACAAAAGCCCCTGATTGTGGGCGTGTCCGGAGCAGTCTGATTGGCTGCATCCCCCCCTAGAAGAATTATTTTATTTACTGCAAGTTTTTGGAAAATGACAAAAAATGTTTATTTTTTTTTTACACAAAATTGTCACTTAAATTATTTCTTGCTCAAAAATGCCATGTGTATACGTGGAATTACTCCCCAAAATACATTATACTGCAAAATACTCAACATGCCTCTTTTTAAATTTCTTGGGGTGTCTACTTTCCAGAAAGGGGTCATTTTTTGGGGGGGGGGGGGGGGGGGTGGTGCTATTCTGGCATTTCAGGGCCTCTGAAACTGTGATAGGTAGTGAGGAAGTGAAATGAGGAAGTTACGCACCTTCAGGCTTTCAAAGTGGTCATTGGATTTCAGGCTCCTGTATGTGGCTAGGCTCCCAAAAAAGTCTCACATGTGGTACCCCCATACTCGCTGGAAGTGGCAGAATGTATTTTGGGGTGTAATTCTACATATACCCATGGCTTGTGTGAGAAATATATCATTTGCCCGACAACTTTGTGGAAAAAAAAATGTTTTTGTCATTTTCCAGAAACTTGTGGGAAAAAAACAAAATCTTCCATGGACTCAATATGCCTCTCAGCAGATAGCTTAGGGTGTCTACTTTCCAAAAAGGGGTCATTTGGGGGTGTTTGTATTATCCTGGTATTTGGGGGTGTTTGTACTGTCCTGGTATTTGGGGGTGTTTGTACTGTCCCGGTATTTGGGGGTGTTTTGTACCGTCCTGGTATTTGGGGGTGTTTGTACCGCCCTGGTATTGGGGGTGTTTGTATTATCCTGGTATTTGGGGTGTTTGCACGGTCCTGGTATTTGGGGGTGTTTGCACCGTCCTGGTATTTGGGGGGGTTGTATTGTCCTGGTATTTGGGGTGTTTGTGCTGTCCTGGTATTTGGGGGTGTTTGTGCTGTCCTGGTATTTGGGGGTGTTTGTGCTGTCCTGGTATTTGGTGTGTTTGTGCTGTCCTGGTATTTGGGGGTGTTTGCACTGTCCTGGTATTTGGGGGGTTTGTTTGTACTGTCCCGGTATTTGGGGGTGTTTGTACCGTCCCGGTATTTGGGGGTGTTTGTACCGTCCCGGTATTTGGGGGTGTTTGTACCGCCTTGGTATTGGGGGTGTTTGTATTATCCTGGTATTTGGGGTGTTTGCACGGTCCTGATATTTGGGGGTGTTTGCACCGTCCTGGTATTTGGGGGGGTTGTATTGTCCTGGTATTTGGGGTGTTTGTGCTGTCCTGGTATTTGGGGGTGTTTGTGCTGTCCTGGTATTTGGGGGTGTTTGTACTGTCCTGGTATTTGGGGGTGTTTTGTACTATCCTGGTATTTGGGGGTGTTTGCACTGTCCTGGTATTTGGGGGGTTGCACTGTCCTGGTATTTGGGGGGGTTGTACTGTCCTGGTATTTGGGGGTGTTTGTACTGTCCTGGTATTTGGGGGGGTTGTACTGTCCTGGTATTTGGGAGTGTTTGTACTGTCCTGGTATTTGGGGGTGTTTGTACTGTCCTGGTATTTGGGGGGTTGTACTGTCCTGGTATTTGGGGGTGTTTGTACTGTCCTGGTATTTGGGGGTGTTTGTATTATCCTGGTATTTGGGGGGGTTGTACTGTCCTGGTATTTGGGGGTGTTTGTACTGTCCTGCTATTTTGGGGTGTTTGCAGTGTCCTGGTATTTGGAGGTGTTTGTACTGTCCTGGTATTTGGGGGGTTTTGCACCGTCCCGGTATTTGTGGGTGTTTGCACTGTCCTGGTATTTGGGGGGGTTGTATTGTCCTGGTATTTGGGGTGTTTGTGCTGTCCTGGTATTTGGGGTGTTTTGTGCTGACCTGGTATTTGGGGGTGTTTGTGCTGTCCTGGTATTTGGGGGTGTTTGCACTGTCCTGGTATTTGGGGGTGTTTGCAGTGTCCTGATATTTGGGGGTGTTTGCAGTGTCCTGGTATTTGGGGTGTTTTTGTACTGTCCTGGTATTTGGGGGTGTTTTGTACTGTCCTGGTATTTGGGGGTGTTTGTACTGTCCTGGTATTTGGGGGTGTTTGCACTGTTCTGGTATTTGGGGGTGTTTGCACTGTTCTGGTATTTGGGGGTGTTTTTACTGTCCTGATATTTGGGGGTTGTTTGCAGTGTCCTGGTATTTGGGGGTGTTTGCAGTGTCCTGATATTTGGGGGTGTTTGCAGTGTCCTGGTATTTGGGGGTGTTTGCAGTGTCCTGGTATTTGGGGGTGTTTGCAGTGTCCTGGTATTTGGGGGTGTTTGTACTGTCCT